GATTTACCGTCGCTTCCCTTCAACCCTTGGGCCTCAACATCAGCAGACTCAACATGTCCATGCACAGAAACGTCTGACTCTCTTCCAGTTCACGACTCTCTGAATGCCCACTTCCGGCATCTGCTTTCCTCACAGTGCGTCTCGAAGATTCATCCCCGCGATTATGCATGACCATCTCAGAGGTCTTTTGCTGACGTCGAGCATCGTATGGCGAGCGGCGTTGAATAGGTTTCGATGGAGCTCCGTAGATCTCGCGAGCGGATAGTTGAGAGTATCCAGAGGCTATCGCCGACCCGTGCATGCCGTCGATTCCCTTCATCGGTCGGGGCAGTCTTAGAGACGGCGAGGGCCTTCGTGGGATGGTAGCCATTCCCATACGTTGTCGTTGACGGTGAATTGCTGCGGCCTTCTCCACTCTACCCGAAGTCGGCCGTCCACCGAATAGTCTGGTGAAGGTGATTGGCCCTCCAACTTGACGCCGTGTCTTCTTATTGTGATCGAAGCGGCGACAATACAGACTCATCGGCCGTTTCCTAAGCTCGATCAAGAGCTCATCGAGGTCCATACGGTCGCACGCCTTGCCGTTTATGCAGTGTAAAATGTCTCTTCTAGCGACACCACATTCAGCACCGTATTTCCCCTCTTCCACCACCGTTACTAGGAAGGGGGCTCTGTCAGTTATCTCCAGTCCGAGAACAAACGGAACCGGCGCATCAGCAGCCAGATGGACTACAATGGTATGGTGACGCGAAGTGAGGAACTCGTTTTCAACAAGAAGACTGTCCCTACCCTCCGACGTCACCATCCTGTGGGCAACTCGTCTTATACGGTCTAAAATATTCGACACGTTGGGCCATCTGCCCGACTGTAGCTTAGAGAACACCACTTGCTGGTGTGGACCATTCACAACAGTAATCTCCAAAGCGCCGATACGAGGGTCCTTGACATCAACAATCTCGCCGACCTCGGGGAAAGCTTGACTAATGCGACCAGCGATGTCCATGAACTGTGTGAAGTATTTCTCCTCGTTGTGATGAACACACCATGGGTGTCTGTAGCATCGTTGGCAGTACTCAATGAGGACCCTCATCGTGCCCTCATACTCCCCAAGGGACACAACAGCTGAGGTCTCCTTGTGCTTGTCGGTGGAGGGTACCAGTCTGGGTAGACTAACTGCCGAGTCGGGCCTAGGGCTTTTGACCATTGAAAGAGTCAACTACAGGATGGGTGAATCACTAGTGATCTCGCATGGGACTTTTATGCAAGCAGTGGAGCTCGGGAGGACTCTCGAACTGTCGCTTGCAAGTACAACATCCACCATTTGCTGCTATTCATCACTCGCATACCGTCACTTAACGTGATGATGACGGTGACCGGGGCGGTCGATTGACCAACGCAATTCTCAAGGAGGTCCCAAGTTAATGATGATACTAGTTTCAAGTGAATTCAACAATGATCCTCAATCCCTGGTCGCCTATTGCAGTAATGATGCAGTCTTTGATGACGAGGAGAGCATCCGTCTAAACCAATCAGCAACA